GGCGCCGCCCCGCCGGCCCGGGAGACCTCAAAGGGCTGGGATGCCTCCAAAGCCCCGCCGTCCTCTCCCTGAGCTGTCCCGGGAAGAGCCCGGTGCCGCCATCCCGTAAATGAGAGCCCGTTGGGCTGCTCCGTGCCCCTCAGGGCACACCGACCCCGCGCCATCGCGACCCCGCGGTCCCCCAGAGCGAGTGCCGCCACGTTAATGCCCGGGTGGCTTCGACCGCATCTGCCGTCACCTACTCGGTTTGTCTCATACGGGACATTTAATCAGCCAACGAACTGTTGTATCTCGTGAAGGAAGATGAGAGGCAAGATGACAAGATAAATAAACCCTTCTCATTTCTCATCTTTGCTGTGAATAACTAAAAAACCGCCACCTTTCAAGCCGTGTTACGCACAGGGGAAGGAGTTAAAGTTTAAAGCGGGAATGTGTACTTTAATGCCCTGTTCTTGGCTGGTATAGAACGAGCACAGTGCTATTACTGAGCCGAGCTGGTTTATGTCTAGGAATTCAAGTGGACAGACCTCCTGCCATGGAAGTCCTCCTGTCTGAAGAGTGCAGGATTTCACTTTCCCATTCCCAGCGACGACAGATTTTGCAGGAGGAATTAAATCAGTTTCTGCTTTCCCTCCCTGCCACTTGTCAGCCACCTTCCTGCCCTTTTGACGCCAAACACCTTCCTCTCCCTTCCTGCCCTGCATTCTCCGTTAGGACTCCTGGCTTTTTATCTGGTAGCTATTTCCTCCCGAGAGGTTGCTCCACATTCACTCTCGTTCTTTGGTTTTGCACACGGATGGGAATACGGCACCTGCTCCTGACACGATGGCCTTTACCACCCAGAGCGGCATGCAGAAGGACGATGGCAAGTCCGTGGGGGAACGTGATGCACATTCACTGAAGAAAATACCTTTTCACCCCAAAAAGGTGACTGAAGGAGATGCTGGCAAAGCTGCTCTTCACAACACGAGTATCCGGCCCCTAATGGAGCTTTTATCCTGGAATGTCATCCCAAAGTATCCCTATTTTATAGAGGGAGGAAAAGGGATGTGCCCTTAATTCAAGTGGGAAAGGATCCCACTCCCCAGTGTGCTCTTCACAAGAGGCACTGACTTCCCTGAAGCCATTCATTCACCCACCATTCTGCTATCATAAAAGGTGACACGGATAGTTTTATTTCAGTTCATAAGTAACTTATTCTGTCTTAGCTTAAAATCTTATTTGAACTAAAATATTCTACTCCCCCAAAATAATAAAAGTGGCTGAATGGCCTTTTGCACGGGCTCATCTATACCAGGCTAAATTATGCTCTTCCAGTGCTACTTTTCATGCTGACATCTCTTTCTCTATCTGCACACTCATAATCACCAGCCTAAAATGCTTAATCTTTAACAAGGTGCATAAATCATAGAGCCTGTGATAAACCAGAACGAGGGATGGGGAAGAAACACTTGAGGAGACATTATAAAGGCAGTAAGCGTTAGCTGCGAGTCTTAATTATGAAACCCATCACGAAGCGGCACCTCTCACAGCAGAGGAAGTACCGTTTCCCACATGTTTTCCACTTGTGCTTCCTAGTGAAAAAGACTTGTCCCTATAAAATCTGGCGTGCTCTCACACAGCTGGATACCGCCCCGGTTTGTGACGCCTTTGAGCACGCTACGCAGTCAGCATGGCCACCACGGTCAGATTTCCATCGGGGGACAACAACATACTCCTCCTTTGCACGTGCCTAAGGGGATGCGCCATCAAAATAGGTTAATAAGTTCAACAGCCTTAAATCGCTGTCTTACGACATGAAAGGTCAGGTTTTGGAAACAGGATTGAACAGCCTGATAGCAATGGTGAGGGAGGATGACTCAGGTGACGCTTGCTCTCCGGTTTGCTTTGCGGGCAAGGGTCCCATTCTGATCTGAACCAAACACATCCATGACTCAGCTAAACACCCGATTGCTTCATCCAGAAGCAAGTGTGGCTGCTTGCCGCCAGCAGAGCTCCTGCTTCCAAATGTCATTTGGTTAAAGGCATGACTTTTGCTATCACCTCTCCCGAGCATGATTTCTCTCTCTGACCGGAAAGCTACGTGGAACGCTGTATTTTCCCACACTAGCATACGCAGTGCATGTCACCCGTTCCAGATCGTGCCATAAGGAGCCAGATGGACCTGCAATAATTCGCTTCATGACACGATTCCAGATGGTTTTATTGAGATGTTAAAGACTTTAAGTGTACTTTGCATCTTGGCCAGCAACTCTGAGAGATACCGCGTGGTAAACAGTTTCCCAGAAGTTACCAGGCAATGAAACAAAGTCCTTTTTGGGGATGTAATCATAAAAGCTCATGAACATTTGTCCTTCTGCGATAAAAACAACAACAAAAAAATTTCCACCCATAGCATAAACCTGAGGCTCCCCATAAGCCTGGAGTATTTATTTAAGCGTTATGTACTTATGATAGCACAGGTACTCACCCTGTGGAGAGGAGAGGCAGCTAGTCCAAGTGGGAATTAACTGTGAGGGATCATAACAAGCACACACTGCTGACATAAGGAAACCTTCAACACAACTTCGAGCCATCCCGCCCTGCAGTGATGACCACAGCTTCCTTTCTAGACTAAACAGGCGTGGGTCAGGCAAACATCCAGGCTGGGGAGCTGAGGTGCTGCAGGAAGGTCTGGGTGATGGACAGCGACATTTAGAAGGTGCTCAGTGTCCACAGCTCACCTTGTGTCTCTCCTGCATCAGCGATGCTACTTCTATTTTGGGTCAGACAGCAATATCTTTCTAAAATGCATGGACCGTTCTCCTGCAAGACACAGCCAGGCTGGAGGGGAATGTGTGACCCCCAGTACCATCACTGGACCAGTGCCCTGCTGAGTGGTGGTGGCAGTGTCCTAGCTAGGATGCCTCACTGGCCTTACACAGCTAAACACATTCTGCTCACATCTAAAGCCACGATCGTGTCTTACCGGTGATACCTGGTCCTTCCACCAAGTACCAGCTTGGAAAATTGCACTTTGACCTTTGTGCAATGCTCTCCTCATCCTGCTTCAACAGAAAAGGGAAGGAGCAGCCCTGGATGGCGCACCGTCCCGTACGTGCGTAAGCAGTTGCTGCGTCACAGGGCGGTCTGCGTGCAGGCCAGCGGGCAGAGCGGGGCCACCTCTCCAGCACGGCTCAGCTCCCACTGAACTACCTCCGTAAGTTTCTCCAGCAGGGACCAGGCTCAGCGCCGAGCCCTTCAGTGCTTACCCTAGAAAGGAAAGCCCTTTCATGCAAACAAATGAAAGAATGTATGTAACGAAGTGTGATTTCTCCACCAGGTGACCCTTGTGACACCAGTATTGAATGATATATCCCGCAAGGAGTGAGAATCGGGGAGAGGACTCAGAGGGTTGTTTTTAACTTTTTTTTTTTTGCAGGATTTTGGTTTCCTGCTTGGTGTGTGCTTCTGATGGCAGTTTAATGCTATTTAAGCACAAGAGTAGAGGTCATACAGTCTCCCTCAACAAACTACAATCACTGATACAGCGGATTTTCCTCAGTCCTGCTGGGGTTTTCACTGCCTTTGACAACGTATGCCCTTTGACTTAAAAGAAAAATGGAATAAACTAGAGCTGGACTCTCCAGTGCCCAGATGACCTCCCGATGTGTTTCTCCCAACTGTAGCAAGTTGCATCAGAAGCCGAG